GCAAACATCAAAGCAAATTTTTTTAAGAAAACGAAACTTTCAAATTCTATAGAAGAAGCATCAGAGATTAATGTAACAACAACTCACACTTGTATTGATTTTGAAATCAATCAAGGTTGTTGCTGAGCATCCATGTAACCAGCATCAACAAGCACTTTCTCCCTCTTAGCAAGCTCAAGATCTTCATCAACCATCATCTTCACCAGCTTCTCAAACCCTACTTTTGGTGTCCAACCCAACACTTGTTTTGCCTTGCTTGCATCTCCTTTAAGGTTATCTACTTCAGTCGGCCTGAAATATCTCTTATCAATCTCCACATACTCTTTCCAATCAAGTCCCAAATACCCAAACGAAACCTCAAGAAACTCCTCCACTGTATGTGACTCCTCTGTCGCCACAACGTAATCATCTGGTTTCTCTTGCTGCAACATCAACCACATTGCCTCCACATAGTCTCCAGCGAATCCCCAATCTCTTGAAGCCTGTAGATTCCCAAGGAATAGCTTCCTCTGCAAACCCACCTTGATCCTTCCCAATGCTCTTGTGATCTTCCTCGTCACGAAATTCTCACCTCTACGAGGTGACTCATGATTGAACAGAATCCCATTACATGCGAATATATCATAAGCTTCACGGTAATTCACAGTGTACCAATGAGCAGCGACTTTGGAAGCAGCGTAAGGAGATCTGGGATGAAACGGTGTCGTCTCCGATTGCGGAGGAGGAGTTGACCCGAACATCTCAGAAGATCCGGCTTGGTAGTATTTGATGCTCCGGCCACTGTCGGTTGAGTGAGATCTGACGGCTTCAAGGAGACGGAGAGCTCCGGTTGCGACTACATCGGCTGTGTAATCAGGGATCTCGAAGGAGACAGCGACGTGAGATTGAGCGGCTAGGTTATAGACTTCGTCTGGCTTGATCACATCGAGCCAACGACGGAGAGAGGATGCGTCGGAGAGATCGGCGTAATGGAGCTTCATCAGAGCTTTGTGGACATTGTGTGGATCGATGTAGATATGGTTGATTCTCTGGGTGTTGAAATTCGACGATCGGCGGATCAGACCGTGAACTTCGTAGCCTTTCCCGAGCAAAAACTCGGTCAGGTACGATCCGTCTTGGCCGGTGATTCCGGTGATCAGTGCGATCTTCCTCGGCTGAGATGGCATTTCCACGGCGTTGGGAGTGGTG